AGAAAACCACACAAGAGCACCCGCCAACCACCCACGGAGACGTCTCCGGATAGATGCCGCGTCATGGAAAGAGCGGGGGCACAGACCACAGACTACAGAGCACAGACTACAGACCACAGACCACAGACTACAGACCACAGACTACAGACCACAGACTACAGACTACAGACTACAGACCATAGACTAAAGACTATAGACTACAGACCACAGACTACAGACCACAGACTACAGACCACAGACCACAGACCACAGACTACAGACCACAGACTACAGAGCACATTAATGAATTAGCAGTGATCTTCATTTGTAATGCAAATTTTGTCTGATAAGTTTTCAAATAGGCAAATAAGTTCATTTCATCTCTCAGTTTTTTACTTTATTGTCTGAGTATAATGATATCTGAGTATAATGATTATTTTTAATCTAAACTTTTTGCTGTTTTAAGCTAGAAGTTTCCCCTCTCTGTCCTAAGTTTTATGGTTAACAAGTTTGAAATTATTGAAGAACCCTACATGTTCTCAAAGTCTTTACAAGATTCTAGTTGTGCTTCTTAGTTCTTCGACAAAGTTTTCTGGAAGTTTTCAAATCCCTGCGTCTTGACTCAACAGGCAGATTCAAGATTCGCTCCGAGCCGAGGGACGCCAAAACATACTTCTTGGTACTGGAGATTGACAACGTGGCAGCACAAGACGCTGGCAACTACAAGGTCACGGCCAAGAACCAGCTCGGAGAAAGCAACGCCACCATCAGGCTCAACTTTGACAGTGCGTACAACACTTGTTGTGATAGACTTATCTGTCTTTGGCTTCTTTTCTCTACTCGAGCTCTTATAGATTTCTCCTCGCTGCACCACTGTGCTTTTCAACAACTCTGAGGCTTGAGGCAGTGAGGTTTTCAGGTTGCTATTGTGAAGGGAACAGCAATGCATTTAATAATATCTCTTTCTTCCTTCTTTTCTGAATATATCATCACTCTTTTGTAACACCTAAATCTTTGGCGCTTGTATCACCTATTGCGTTGCAAGTGCCATAAAACTCTTACTAGAACTAAAACGAGAGCAGTGCGTTTGACGTTAAACAAGTTTTTATCTTCGTAGTGTGGTACTCATTCCGTTTTGCTTTATGAAGACAATGGTGTTTTTCCCTACAAAAGGTATGGAAAATCATATTGGTGTAGATCTTATAAATTTCTTCTGTATTTGATTGGAAAATAGAAACTTGAAAATAATATATGGTGTAAACTTGCAATGAAATGTTCAATTTTTGATTGACTTTCTTTAGAGTGGGCTGTGGTTAAAAATTTTTTGGGAGGCTTTTTCTTAATCCCCTGGCCATGTTGGATAGAACATTGGAAGCTGATTAGATATCATTCATTCATGGGCAAATTGATGGGGTATATTTCTGTGTCCTTTTGGTGTCATCTAAAGCAAAGCGAAATCAGCAGAACCTCCTGCCTCACTTTACTGCACTATTTCGTAGTCTTTGCTTGTCTCACAAATTTTCATTCTTGCACCAAGTTTTGTTGCAGATTTTGTTTTCAGCTTTTGCGCATACTTTTTATTTTAGAAAAAACAAAACAACAAGAAAAAAACCAACAAACAAACTAGTTTTGATTAATCAGTCCACAAAACATTTTGTCCACAGAGGGTTCTATAGATTCAACACTATACTCTTGAAACTTTGGGACGAAGATAATGTGGAGAAGATTTCTTTCAGTTCACTTCTTTCACCATTTGATCTATGCTAGTAACTTCCTGGAGTAGAGCAAGATGAATGGAGATCTTCAAATTAATGGCAAACTTTAACTTGGGACATTGCATACAAAGTGCAGACTTTCAGTCTGTGACATTGTGCTGCAGCTTGTTTTTTTTAATTTGTGAGGTGTGCTGACAGAATGAGTTACTTCTCAGATTTTAGCCCGATGGAAATAGATACATCAAATTTATAGGTTGAATTTTTACAATTTATTAGTTTGAATTGATAAAAGACACATTAAACTTGAAGAGAATGGCACTGGTTTAGCATCTACAAATATATGACCCTTGTGTTGATTTTTGGCTGATATCTCCATTCATGGATAGCGAGAAGTAACTCATTTTGTTAGCATGCCTCACATTTGTTTGAAATGGACAAAATGTATTGGACTGATTTGTGTGCAGCTTTTTAGAGGAGTACATTAATCCAATCTCTGTGACATGTTTATGTGAGTGTCACTGTTGGTGGTGATACATTTGTGTGCCTGACAATTTGTTTTACTTTTCTTTACTTTGCTTTCGGATTAATGATGAGCAAGTCGTACTTTGGACGTGTGTCTGCGGTTTGTCTGTTTGATTTACATCGTAGAATAGAGACTAGATAGCCTGCTGGTCTTTCTGTTCTTGTCACAAGTGTTAGCACTAACACACTTATGATTTCTTCATTTTGTAGTTTATGATTTACCTAACAATCTTAGCTGTTTAGAAATTGATCAATAGAAGATTCTGAAAGTAGTCCAGTTTTGTGAAACTGTGTTTGATTTGTGAATGATTCGTGTACATGTAACCTCTTCTCGTTGTCTCATATCTAACGTGTTCTAGGCACCATGATCTTGCATATGCAGCAAGGCATGGTACCTCAACAAGGGTCCCGCCCGGTCTTTGTGCAAAAGCCTGCCATACGTCAGGCGGGCGGCAAGATAATTCTAGAATGTCAGCTCACGGCTGACCCAGCCCCGACGGTAATGTGGATGTTGAATGGGAGGCCTGTGGCGTCCGGAGGTCGTATCCTCACCAATATGAGGTCGGATGGCCACGTTCACCTCCTGTCTATGGAGATTTCGCAGGTGACGCTGCAGGATGGAGGGGAGTACAGGGCGGTGGCCAAGAACGCTCTCGGTGAGGCCACCGCAACCATCACGCTCAACTTTGAAGGTGAGGCTAAGTGCAGGTTCCTCGAGGAGACGGGAGTGAGAGGGGAACCTAAACAAACGTAATTAAAATAAAAAATTTACTTTTTGTCACATACATTTGTGATGGTGTATACAACTCACATTGTTGTTGCTGTTGTTGTTGTTGTTGTAGTTGTTGTTCTTGTGGCTGTTGCTGTTGTTAATAAATTAATACCTCCGTCCTCGATCAGTCAATACCAGCTCTTGAAGTAAGCGTATAATGATAAGGCACTTTGCGATTCAACGCAGAAGAAATGAGATAGAATCCCATGTGGGAAGAAAGTTTTATCAAGAATCTCTGTCTTTCTGTTGGGGCTGTGAATCTTCTCTCATCTCAGGTTGTCAATGGTTGGAGCTGCTTGCCTTCTAAATGATCTAAATTGGATGGATGGGGTGTAAAACATTTACAGTTACATATTTGGTTAATGAGGGTGTGGTGGTGGAGCGGTTAGTGCGCTCGTCTCTGAAGCAGAAAGTCTGGGTTTGAGCCTCGGTTCAGACAAGGATTTTTTCACCCCCTCCGGCCCACCCAGCAGTAATGGGTACCTGACTTTGAGTTGCGGAAGTAAAGGCGGCGTGGAAAGGAACTGGCCACCCTACCACACTATGCCGAAGGCCGAGAAAGTTGTCTCACTAACAATGCAATCCCCAATGTCCGGATCAGATGCGGGAACAACTTTACTTTTTATTTGGTTAATGCTAAATTGTAATTTTTCCTCTATTTCTGCGGTCCAAAGGGATATTGTCTCTGTGTGTGGAAGTTTGGGCCGCAACGTTCTTTCAGAGGTGGAGGGGGGGGGGACTACCTTTGTTTTGACCAGGCTATGAAGAAAAGCACAGTTGTTTATTGATAAATATTATGTTCAGATGCCTTATGTGTGCGTGGTACAATATTGTACAGTTTGTGCACAAATTGTCGTGGTTGTTGTTGTTGTTGTTGTTGTCGTTGTTGTTGTTGTTGTCATCATCTGACACTAATTAAGTGTGGACAGCATGTCTGTTTTCTTTTTTTTTGTTTTTTTGTGTGGAATATTTCATTTTGCTACTGCAGCATGGTTTTTCTATTTCTTTGAAGAATGTTGCACATTATGCTTCATTATCCTGCCTTTCATTTCTTCGCGTAGCTTAGAAACAAAAACATTATGCTCTAAATTTTATACCATGACTCCTGATATTTATGTCCTCAGATGCAACAGGAAACATTTTTCTTTGTTTCGTTTTGTTTTTTGATACTTCGTTTGGGTTTTTTGGGGGGTTAACATTAGATAATGGGGTTGTATTTCGAATATGGTGTCTTTGGAAACCTGATGATGTATATATACTGCAAGATAAGGAATTTGTATGATTTCTAATTTTATCATTTCTAATTTTATGATTTCTAATTTTTAAAACTTAAGGACCTCAGTCACCGAGAGTCAGGCCAGGTCTGTACAAAGATGAGGATAGGTCTGTTTTCTAGTAGCACTGGACTGCAAAAATTTATTACAAATTAAAATCTTCCCGAGCAAAAGGATGGATTGTAACAACATCTAAATTCGTTTGATGCTTTCATTTAGATTTTATAAAACGATACCTGAACAAAACAATAGTCAGAATGAACGTTAGTTTTGGGTTTAAAAAAGAAAAAGAATTTTGTAATAGGATCAGAATTCAAGTGTTCTGCATTTTTTTGTAAATAATACTGTTTCAGATTTTATCACGTAAGCCCCTAGATATCTTGAAATAAGTTAAGCTGCTAATGTTATCATGTGTTAATGGCCAAATGTCAACTTTGCCAAATCAAATGTGGCTTTGTGTCAGGTCCTTAAGGCTCATGGAAACAGTGGTAAGCTTAAAACAAACTTTCGTTGTGATTTTTAATTCTGTAAAGAAATGAAACACTTCTCAACAGGTTTTATTGTACTTGTTTACTGTGGAAAGAGAAATGTAGCAAATAGTATTTTTCAAATATAGGAATTATGTCTGTAGTTAGTCGTAAACTTTCTAATTGATAACAATTTATTGAAGGTTCTTGCATTTTTGCTCATGTCCCTCTTTTTCTTTTTTGAGTTTTCGAGATGAACTCTCAGATCTTGCATGCTGTCAATTACAAAATGAACACCTTTTTTTTATCATTAATGTCTCAAAATCACAAATTTTATCTTATGGCTAAAAGCAGTTGGTTTTGTGAACCATTTCTGTACAATGAGTATAGTGACATAATGATGTTATCGAACATGTCTAAAATCTTGTTTGTATTCCTCCCCCTTGCCCTACGATGTTCATCTGATGGATTTATCCAGGCAGTAAAAAACCACAGTAAGTGTTTGTTAAATAAATCATGTTCAGCTCAACTGAATAAATGTTTTTAATTTTAAGTCATGTTCAGCTTTATTGTTCTCTGTTTTCGTGTTGGTGATTGGTGTGTGCCCTTGTGTGGTTTTCTCCCTCTACTGCTGTGCCCAAGTTATTGTGATCAGGATTCTATTCCTGTAGAGATCTAGGGTGGATAGTCTAGTAAACAGTACGTTCAGGTTCAAACTCTGATTAGGTTTCTCGGGTTATTTTTGGCAGGGGAATCTTTTTATGACTGTCCAACTTTACAGCTGGATCATGGATGCAGATAATATGCACATCCTATGAACTCAATGATTCACACCTTATTCTTTTCTTCTTTTCATAACTTGTTTCCTCCGCAATAAAAATGACTTTTTAAAAGATCGGGTACAGTGGTAGATAGGGGCCGTCCTAATTTCAGACTTAAAAAATGTCCTCAATAGGACATGTAATGATGCTCACATATTGCCGTTAGGATACTGATTTTGAAGAATTACATATCTTGTGCACACAAAGTCTGAGCAAAGATTGTACTGATATAAATGTCATTTATTATTATTATTATTATTACTGAAAGAATTTCTGTTTAGAAATACAACAAGACTTGATAAAAAAAAGCTGATGATGACATCTATATCACTACACAACAATTGCAGAGGACATTTTTTAAGGAGTGACCCATTTCATTTGTGAGAACATATTTTTATACTTTTTTGTCTGAATTCTTAGCTGTGGCTTTCATGGAAGACTGAACTTTATTACACTCACACTGTCTCTCCCTCTGCTCTTGAGATGTGTAGACTATGTGCTGTATAAATGTTTTCGTGTGCTCTGTTGTGGTTTGTTCCTTCTTTCCTATTAAACAGATAGGTGTCCCGTGTGCAAGTTGTACACGTTAAAGATCCCTTGGTGGTCTAAAATCGATAAGAGTGGTCTTCGGCCGCCACCCAGGCAAAATTCAAAATTTCGTACCATCTGAAAATGTTTAACACTTTGTAGTCACTCAGCCAGCAGTACAAAATACCCCATCTGGTCACCCAGCCAGGAGAGTGACTGCAACAAACTTCTCAGGCCTGGTGCAGAAATGACAAAGTGTTAATGTGTCCTACACGCTCATATGACCTTATGCAGTTGCAAGTGCCGTAAAGCACTCGCCAAAAAAAAAAAAAAAAGAAAAAAAACCCAGATAGGTGACGAATGTCTTGATCTATTTCTCCCCACAGGAGTGACGGAAAAGCCCCTCACTGTGTCTTGATCTATTTCTCCCCACAGGAGTGACGGCAAAGCTCCTCACTGTGTCTTGATCTATTTCTCCCCACAGGAGTGACGGCAAAGCCCCTCACTTCACGCAGAAGCCCACCATCAAGCAACAACAGAACCTGCTGCTGATGACGTGTCTACTGGAGGCCAAGCCAGCGCCTCAGATCCGATGGTTCCGCGACACGACGGAGATCGGCGATGGTGGACGTTTCTCCATCACCATGCAGAGAGACCCTGGCGGCGCTGACCTCTATACCGTCATCTTACAGATCAGGGTACGGGTTTAGAGGAAGAACATTAAACATTATGTAACCCTATCCGTAAGTTATGTTTTAATATCGTATCCATACGACATGTGGAACTCTGTGCCACCACTTTCCTAAAAGGAAATTTACTCGTTAATCCGATCCCTACGATTTTTTGAGAAATGCTGAAAGTTTTAAAGAGATCTTCGCACTAGAAGTATTCTAAAATGTGAAGAATACAACCCCTGGGGTACAAAATGACCCCAGGTGTAGGGATGGGATTAAGCTGCTTATTTTTTTCATTTTCAAGTCAGAACATAAATAGTTATAGAATATTTCATGTCTTGAGATTGCGCTCTTGTTTACTAATAAGGGCCTGGCTGTGTGTGTAGGCAACTGGACACGGTCAAGCCAGAAAACGGTCAAAAACTGAAAGAAAAAGAAAAACCTGTTTTTTTTTTCAATCTGAGCAACCTCTCTGAACAGAATGCTCAGTTCATTCGAAGAAAACCTCTCTGAACAGAATGCTCAGTTCATTCGAAGAAAACCTCTCTGAACAGAATGCTCAGTTCATTCGAAGAAAACCTCTCTGAGCGGAATACTCAGTTCATTCGAAGAAAATCTCTCTGAACGGAATACTCAGTTCATTCGAAGAAAATCTCTCTGAACGGAATACTCAGTTCTTTCGAAGAAAATCTCTCTGAACGGAATACTCAGTTCATTCGAAGAAAATCTCTCTGAACGGAATACTCAGTTCATTCGAAGAAAATCTCTCTGAACGGAATACTCAGTTCATTCGAAGAAAATCTGGTGGTTCCGCAGATTTCAAGTCAAGCGGACACCACTGTACTTTCTTTGTTGAAGAATAGCACCCCTTCACAAAGTGTAATGAAACATAACTGTGTAAATCTCTTGTTCAAAGAATTAATTTATTTTTGTGATTGAGTCCCTTGCTGTTTCCCGTTCGATAACTTGGAGATGCTCGTCAAATCTGGGCTGTTCTTGGGCTGTTGTGTCTTTTTTTTTAGATTAAACTGAGATTGATCATACTTCTTTCAAAAAGTGATAACTGCAATACACAGGTGATTGGCAAGTGCTCTGGTTTGGTTTTATCTTTCTTTTCTTTTCAAACATCTATCATCCTTATCTCTCCTCCTTCTCCTCTTTGTATGTTACTCTCTAGTAACCTCTCTAAACTTTGGCACTCAAATAACTTATTTGTTTTGCAAGTGCCATAATCTTACTAAATCTTAATAAAACAAAACAAATGCTCCACTGTATCAAGCATGACATTAACACTTTGCAGTCACACAGCCAGCAGTACAAAATACCCCATCTGGTCACCCAGCCAGGAGACGGCGACTGCATCAGACTTCTTGGGCCTGGTGCAGAACCTCGCCAGGTGACCGGGACGGATAATTTTCTCCGGTGCATTATAGCGCCAAGTGAGTGCAAAGCAATAAGATTGAGACCTGTCAAAACTTATGAAATCAGATTCTAAAAACCAGCAAGCAACTGACAGTTTTGTTTCTCTGCTCCCAGGACCCTAAAACAGAAGACGCAGGCACATACAAGTGTACAGCAGCCAACGATCTCGGAGAGTCGAACGCCAACATCACTCTCAATTTCCAAGGTGAGTCAGTCACATCACTCTCAACTATCAAGGTGAGTCGGTCACATCACTCTCAACTTCCAAGGTGAGTCAGTCACATCACTCTCAACTTCCAAGGTGAGTCAGTCACATCACTCTCAACTATCAAGGTGAGTCGGTCACATCACTCTCAACTTCCAAAGTGAGTCAGTCACATCACTCTCACTCACAACTTCCAAAGTGAGTCAGTCACATCACTCTCAACTTCCAAAGTGAGTCAGTCACATCACTCTCAACTTCCTAGGTGAGTCAGTCACATCACTCTCAACTTCCAAGGTGAGTCACATCACTCTCAACTTCCTAGGTGAGTCAGTCACATCACTCTCAACTTCCAAGGTGAGTCAGTCACATTACTCTCAACTTCCTAGGTGAGTCAGTCACATCACTCTCAACTTCCAAGGTCAGTCACCTCACTCTCAACTTCCAAGGTGAGTCGGTCACATCACTCTCAACTTCCAAGGTGAGTCACATCACTCTCAACTTCCAAGGTGAGTCAGTCGCATCACTCTCACTCTCAACTTCCAAGATGAGTCAGTCGCATCACTTGTAGAAAACTGACGCAGAAGGATAAGTGGATTTTGTTCCTTCCATCTTGAAGATAATGGGAACAGTTGTGAAACTAGAAGACATTTTGCGGGAAACATCGAGAGTCATATTTTGACCATGCACTTTCCACATTTCTCTGTCCTAGGCTAGCCTCTTGATGTTATTCCATGTCTTCCCACTTTTCTGTACTTCAATCTCTGTGATTCTTCTCCAGGTTTCACGTGGTCTTCCCCTTGATCTTTTACCTCTCTTGTAACACCTCTAATCTTCGGCACTTATATGACCTTATTGTGTTGCAAGTGTCGTAAAACTCTTACTAAAACTAAAACTTTCCTTAACACTTCCTCGTTGTCTTCTGTGCAGGCGGAGAAAAGCCAGGAAAGCCCCCAGGTGGTATTGCTCCGACCTTCAAGGAGAAGCCGAAAGTTGCTCAAGACCCGAGTGGCAAGAACATCGTCATCGAGTGTCGGTGCACAGCCAACCCTAAGCCAGACATCACGTGGTTCAAAGGAACAGCCGCTCTGCCCACCAGCCCCAGGATAAAGCCAACGATCACGCAAAATGGAAATGAATATCTCATCAAGCTAGAAATTTTGGTGAGTGTGTCAAGTTGTTGGAAGAGATATCTCAAAAGGGTCAAAGCTATGGGCTATGTTTTCTATGGAGAACCTCTTCTCCTCACTGACTGATGACTGTCAATAAACTGTTTAAAATATGTCACAAGGGGGTGGAATTAGGCGCTCGTCAATTTTTGGTCATAAGGAGTTATTGGTATCGTTGTAAAGTTTGTTCATTCATCTTGCTTTTGAAGAAAGGAAAACCCATCTATCTTGAATAGAACTAGAGATTTTTTGCGATAAAAGGAAATGTGAGTAGCCTGTTTTATTAGGTAAAATTTGCAAGAAAATGGCCGCCAAAGTTTGGAAACTTTTATACTTTGGGAGTCCTTGAAAACTGAAAACGTACATATTTTGTGCAATTAATCATCGTTTTTCAGTAACATTAAAAATTCATTTGGTGATGCTGAGCCAAGAAACAAATATTCGACGAAAATTTCCAAACTGGAGGAAAAGTGCCCGTGTCTTCAATTTCCTTATTTTGACGAGCGCCTGATTTCACCAAGATGCCTCACAAATATTGACTAGCCTATACGTGTTGATTGAGTGACTATATACATATATGTTTTTCTGTGCTGTCTTCAGAATTTTACCAAAGATGATGGTGGTCAGTACAAAGTCATTGCCAAGAACGACATGGGTGAAGGAAGTGCAAACATCACTATCAATCTGGAAGGGTAAGATTTGGTCTCACTGCTTGGGCTTTTTTTTGTGTGTGTGTGTGTGTGTGTGTGTGTGTATGTGTGTGTGTATGTGTGTGTGTGTGTGTGTGTGTGTGTGTGTAT